GAAGGAGAGAAGGGAGGGATTAGAGGGAAAGGAGGGAAAGGAGGGAGGGGAGGGAGGTGAGGGAAGGGAGAGAAGGGAGGGCAGGGTGCGGGAAAGAGGGAAGGGGGGACAGGGAGGGAAGGGAGAGACGGGAGAGAAGGGTGGGATTGATGGGAAAGGGGGGAAGGGAGGGAAGGAGGGAAGGGAGGAAAGGGAGGGAAGGGAGAGAAGGGAGGGACGGTTCGCCGGGCGACGGAAAAAGGGAATAGGGAGGCGGGTAGGCATGTATGGAGGCGGGAAATGGGAAGCATGCGGCTGGAAAGGCGCATCGGGCGGCGGGAAAGGGGAAGCGGGCGGGCGGGAACGGGACTCCGGCGGCAGGAGCTGGAATTTGGCGGCGCGAAAGGGGAATTGGGCGGCGCGAAAGGGGAATCGGGCGGCGGGGAACGCGATCAAGGCGGCGGGAACTGGTATTTGGCGGAGCGATAGGGGAATCGGGCGGCGGGAAGGGGAGGTCGGCCGGCCCTGGCGGCATCTATGGGGGGTAAGGGGATACGCACCGCGATTAGAAGGGGATTCGCGGCGGCGGGATAGGGGAACCGGGCGGCGGGAACGTGAATCGGGCGACGCGAAGGGAGTAGGGCCACGGAAAAGGGAACCTGCAGGCTAGACAGAAGAATCGGGAGGCTTGAAGGGGCCTCCCGCGGCTCGAACAGGGAGTCGAGCGGAGGAAAGGGGAATCGCCGGGCAGCGTGGCTGGGGTTCCCTGGCGGCGGGAATGGGAAACCGGGCGGAGGGAAGGGCATCAGGCAGCGGGAATGGGGCTTGGGCCAGCGCGAAGGGGAGTCGGGCCGGAGGAAAGGGCTAACGCGAACCCTAAGCCATTTCGCAAGCTCACGCTCCCCGCGAAATGCACCGTGTCTTAGGCGCCGCCAAATAAACTATGGCTCTGTGGGTGTTTTACAGTAAGCGTGAGATGCGCTATAATGACATTGGCTTGCAGAGGTTGGCTGAAGTTACCTTTTTAGTGATGACAGAGAGCGCTCTGGGAGTGGAGATATTGGCGAGGAGGCATGTCCTTCAGTTTACTTTTGGCAAGCCATAAACTTTCGACCAGGGAGTGAGGTGAGGGGTTGGGTTCGAACTTGTCGCTGTGTCCGAAGTCCGAGAGGCCCTGTTATTGGTTACCACGGTGTACCTTTTATAAAGTTTTGGCCTTTCCCTGCCAAATGTATACCGCTGCTATAAGAGTTGACAAATCACAAGCAGCATAACGAGCGACGTGGCAGTTAGCGATAACAATTGCCGTCCACATGTAACTAGGGAATGCACATTGCAGATCTCACTCGTGTTCTAGTACGGTGCAGAGCGTTGTTAGTCTGAAGCGCTGGTTTGGGCTGTAGGCTAAAAAAAAATACAATATGTAGGTAAGAAACAAAGGGGAAATATGTGAAAGGTAACATCAATGGGCCCCTGTAATGAATGTGCAATTCATTACTGTAGAACTGTCCTTAGCGAGGACAGCCCCGAGCAGTTCGCGTCAGTGTGGCTCGGCCTACACTTTCGCACCGAACCAGCCCCGAGTCGCCCCGCACCAATTGCGACATTCCCGAGCCACGCACATCGAGGTTCTCGCCTTGCATGGTTTCGACCCTATAAATGCTCGTCTCTTTATCATTCTCGTCATTCTGTAATTCTCATCTCTTTTATAAAGTCTTCCGCGCACTCTTCTTAGTACAACTCATAACACTTGGTATCAGAGCCTAAGTTCCTAGGTTCCCCGTTTTTTAGAGTGTATTACCCCGCGGGGGGGGGGGGGGGGGGGGGGGGGGGGACAGGGAAGGATGCCGTGGTGACAGGAGCAGCGCAGTAGCCGGCCAGGAGAACGGGTATTTACTCCTAGCGGCCATGGATTTCCCTGGCGCTCCTGCTTCGGGTACCGACGGATCCTTGCCCTCGACGGTCAAGATCGACCGTGGCCTCCCTCCCCCCGGGTGGCGGACAGCTTTTGCTGTCGTCGCAATTAATGCGTGAGTTAACAGTACTCGTTTCGGCATTTTCAGAGTTAATTTGTGTGGCAGCTGACGTCGACAGGATCTCCGTCACTGCACGTTCGAAGATGTCGGAAGCAAGATCGTCGTGCGAGTTGCGACGGCGTGTGGTCGACAACTGCGCGCGACAATTTCGGAGCGGATTGCATGCAGTACGTGGCGTCGAGCGTCTTCGTCACGTTGCGCACCAGTCCATTGGAGGTCTTCGGCAAGTGACGATCGTGGTCACTGTGCGCGAAGATTTCGGGTAGCAGCACGTGGAAAACGACTGCTGTGCGAGCAGCCAGGCGCATGGTGATTTGCGTCAGAAAATGCAACGGCGCGGAGTGACGGCGTGAGGATTGCCCGAAGAAAACGGGGGTTCTACCGTCGTCCAGCCCGGGTTGTCAGAGGTCCACTGGTGATCCCCGATTGATCCTAGGGAAGGGTTACAGGCACGGCGGCCTGGGGGGTTATGGGCGCACTCACCCGCTACACAAACAAGCCCTTTTATCCCAGTGGTTAGTGGCTGGGATTCTGACATGGTATCAGAGCGAAGGTCTCGGGTTCGAATCCCGGTGTGTGCACCTCGGGCATCCCAGTGCGGGGGGGTGTCAGAGGTCCACTGGTGATCCCCGATTGATCCTAGGGAAGGGTTACAGGCACGGCGGCCTGGGGGGTTATGGGCGCACTCACCCGCTACACAAACAAGCCCTTTTATCCCAGTGGTTAGTGGCTGGGATTCTGACACGGGTGTGGCCGGTGTGGCTGCAGGAGGGTGCGTCGTTGGCGTTTTCGGCAGGAGCGGCACAGTGTGGGACGGGAAGTTATTTTCAAACCACCGAAAAGTGCGGAAAAGGCCGCCTACGACTAGACTGTTCGCGTTAGGGTCAATTCTGCGCCTGCAACAACGTCGGCCGAAAATTTCGGAGCATTAGCAGCAGCCGACACTGTACTTCAGGCGGCACAGTTTCCCCCTGATCAAGGGAAGTTGTGTCGCAGACGGGGCAGTACACCCACGAGGACAACGGTTTATCGCAGCGTCTAGACACGCGAATTTCGCCTAGTCTACCGGCTACAATATACGGAGTTGCGACAAATACGGGTCTGGCGAGAGAAACGGATTCCGAGCTTCAGGAGGGGAGGGGAGAAAACGACCTAATGCGACGACTTTTTGCTGATGCCGGGTTTCGCGGCTAAGCGGCGGTAGCAGAAGGAGCTCCCTACCGGCCAAAGTCCACCGACGTTTCGCATACCCCACGCCCAGACGGTCTCGAAGGCAATGGTAAAACCAAAGAGCCACTGGATCCAAAGGTGGGGCCCTGTGTTTAGCCCTGTGCTGGTTAGAAAGGCGCGGGTGACGCTGTTCGACGGCAGGGCGTTCGAGAAAAAAAATTGAAGGATGCGGCACTGTTTCGGCCCCGACAAAAACGGACCATCGGCGACAGTTACCCTGCCGAAAATGTCGGGACTGAAGAAATTGTGGCAGCTGTCGGGAATTTCTCCTAATTTACCGGTCTACCCAGCGGCGGTTGTTTGTAGCGGCGAAGATGGGGGCGACAAAGCTGTGGAATTTTAAAAGCGATAAGACGCGGTGGGCAAACGAAGCGGCCGGCCCGACGGTTTGATCCGATAAACCTGATCCGGTTACGATAGCATTCGCGCCTTCACCGATGTCAGAAAAATCGCGGGCAACACGGAGTTATACCTCATCCGACAAAAGCGGACGCTGGGTGAACGGCGGCAAGCGAAATTGTCGGGGGGTGAAGACAAAAACAAATGGAGGGAAATTTGTGGGTGCTCCAGCAGATCTCCAGAGTGAAAGGCCGCTTTGCAGCGTCGCCCGCCCGCCGCGCTGCCCGCTCGCAGCGTCGCCCGCCCGCCTCGCTGCCCGCTTGCAGCGTCGCCCGCCCGCCCGCTGCCCGCTTCGCGGCCCGCCCGCCGCGCTGCCCGCTCGCAGCGTCGCCCGCCCGCCTCGCTGCCCGCTTGCAGCGTCGCCCGCCCGCCCGCTGCCCGCTTGCAGCGTCACCCGCCTGCCCGCTGCCCGCTTCGCAGCCCGCCCGCCGCGCTGCCCGCTCGCCGCGTCGCCCGCCCGCCCCGCTGCCCGCTTCGCAGCCCGCCCGCCGCACTTCCCGCCTGCAGCACCACGCTGCCGCTTCGCAGCCCGCCCCCCGCACTGCCCGCTCGCCGCGTCGCCCGCCCGCCGAGCTACCTACCTGCAGCGCTGCGGCAGCTTCCTTTGCTCAGTCGCACTGTCGCTATGGCTTCCATCCGCGTGCTGTCGTTCGATGCTGAGGGCCGCCCTGTGAAGTTCGCCACTTGGCTGGATGACCTGCAGCTGTTCCTTCTGAGCGATAGCAAGGAGCATGTGTCGCTCTATGATTATGCGTCTGGTGCTGCACCTGCCCCTCCTGCCACAGCTGAGCTTAGTGTTCGTTCCCACTGGCAGACTCGTGACGCAGCTGCTCGCCTAGCCATTCGCAGTCACCTGCCGCTAGCTGAGCTCGAGCATTTTGGCGACTGCAAATCCGCTAAGGCCCTGTACGATGCTGTCGTTGCTCGCTACTCCTCGCCTGCCACAGCCGAGCTTAGCCGCCTCATGCTGCCGTACCTGTTCCCTGAGCTGTCCACCTTTGCTACAGTCGCCGATCTTATCACTCACCTTCGCACTAGTGATGCTCGCCTGCGTGCCGCCCTTCCCACCGAGTTCTGCGCTAAGAATCCCCCTCCCCTGTACTGGACACTCCACTTCATAGTCACCCGTCTCCCTGACACCCTCAGCTCAGTTCGAGACCACTTCCTTGCTCGCTGTCCCACTGAGCTCACAGTCGCCCTCCTAGAGGAGCAGCTGCTAGCGGCCGAAAAGAGCATTGTAGCTGTCGGTGCTGCTCGTGGCGCTCCTCGCACCCCCATCTTTGAGGGGTGTTCTCCCTCTCCCCTCGCTCCCTCCTATGCTACTGCTGCTGCTGTTGACTTCCTTGGTGCTGAGTCTGCTGGCGCTGCTTCTGCTCCTGGTGGGAGGCGCCGCACCGGCAAGGGCAAGGGGGGCAAGGGTGGCGGGGGTGGCGCTGGGGGGGGAGGAGGTGGGGGAGGTGGGGGGGGAGGCGGTGCTGGAGGGAGCGGTGGCGGGAGCGCTGGTGGGAGTGGGGTCGGCGGTGGAGGCGGGGGCGGCGGAGGAAGCAGTGGCAGTAGTGGCGGCGGCGGCGGTGGCGGCGGCGGCGGTGGTGGCGGTGGTGGCGGTGGTGGCGGTGGCGGTCGGAGCGGTGGTAGTGGTGGCGGCGGAGGTCGGAGTGGAGGCACTGGCTCGGGCCAGAGCTCCCAGCAGCAGCAGCGTCCCCAGACGACCCAACAGCTTCGTGAGTGGCTTGCTCAGCGTGGGACGTCGGGGGGCAGTGGCCGCTGTTCCTATGTCATTCGCACAGGTGACCGCAAGGGACAGACGTGTGGGAGGTTCCACACCCCGTACCGCTGCTTCTCCCGCCTTGACGACGCTTGGCGTGAGGAGATGGGCGAGGATGTTGAGCGCCCCCGCTGGGCTGAGCTCATGAGGGCTGGTGTTGATATCTTTGCTCTTGACTATGATGCTATTATTGCTGCCATGTATGCATTGACTGTTAGTGCCGAGGGAGACTGTTACTTGTGTGTGCCGCCTGACCCAGGTATAGAGCCCGCTGCCCTGGGTACTAGTGAGTCTGCTCTCTCTGGTATGGTGCCCCCTGTACTTGCCCCCTCCAGTGCTGTCCCGGCTGTTTGCGAGTCTGCTCTCTCAGGTACAGCACCCACAGAGACTGCTCTCTCAGGTACCGCACCGGCTGAGGCCTGTCACACCTTCACCCTTGACTCAGGTGCTTCCCGCTGTTTCTTTCGTGACAGTACTGAGCTCACACCGCTTCCTGCACCGGTCCCAGTCTCCTTGGCTGACCCCTCTGGGGGCCCAGTCCTTGCCCAGTCCACCACTGTGCTCCCTTGTCCGGCGGTTCCGTCTGGCTCGTTGTCGGGTTTCCACCTCCCCTCGTTCTCGACAAACCTGGTGAGCAACGCTGTCATCCAGGATCAATGGGTTGACACCTTTACCCCTGGAGGACAGCGTGTGGCGATCTGCACGTGCTCCAGGACCGGCCGTCACCTGGCTACGTTTACCCGTCGGCCGGGGTCGAGTCTCTACACACTGACCACTGCGTCTCCTCAGGTTGCTGCTGTCGGTCAGGTGTCCGCGTCAGGTCTGGTGGCCCACGCCTGTGAGTGTCGTTCCCTGTCGCACCAGACTCTTCTCTGGCACCACCGCCTGGGTCACCCCTCCTTGCCACGCCTCCGTGGCATGCACCGTCGCTGCCTTGTGTCTGGTCTTCCCAGGTCCCTCCCTCCCCTCCCTGCCTCGCCTGCGCCGCCTTGCCTTCCTTGCGTCGAGGGGCGGCAGCGCGCCGCTCCTCACTCCTCCTCGTTCCCCCCGACAGAGGCTCCTCTGCAGACCCTCCACCTGGACGTGTGGGGCCCAGCCCGCGTTCGTGGTCAGGGCGGTGAGCGGTACTTTTTGCTGGTTGTCGACGACTACTCGTGTTACACCACGGTCTTCCCCTTGCGCACCAAGGGTGAGGTTCCTGCTGTTCTGATCCCTTGGATCCGCACAGTTCGTCTCCAGCTCCGCCGCCGTTTCCGGACGGATCTTCCTGTCCTGCGTCTGCACTCTGACAGAGGTGGTGAGTTTTCCTCCGATCTCTTGAGGACCTTCTGTCAGGCAGAGGGCATCGAGCAGACCTTCACGCTTCCGGACTCCCTACAGCAGAATGGGGTTGCTGAGCGCCGCATTGGCCTGGTCATGGAGGTCGCTCGTACCTCCTTGGTCCACGCGGCGGCTCCCCATTTTCTGTGGCCGTTTGCTGTCCGGTACGCCGCGCATCAGCTCAACCTCTGGCCCCGTGTCTCCTTGTCGGAGACCTCGCCCACACTGCGTTGGACGGGGGAGGTTGGTGATGCGTCGCGCTTCCGGGTGTGGGGTGCTCGTGCCCTTGTCCGCGATACGTCCGCGGACAAGCTCTCCTCCCGCACGCTTCCCTGTGTCTTCCTTGGCTTTGTCCCTGACGCGCCGGGCTGGCAGTTTTACCACCCCACCTCGCGCCGGGTCTTTGCCTCTCAGGACGTCACCTTTGACGAGTCGGTCCCTTTTTACCGTCTCTTCCCCTACCGCACTGCCCCCCTCCCTCCCCCGCCGCTTTTCCTTGCTCCTGGTCCCCCTCCGGTAGACCCCCTTCCCCCTCAGGGTCCTGCTCCTTCAGGTGTCTCTCAGGTAGACCCTCCTCCCGTCGCTGAGCCTGTCGAGGTCACAGGTGACTCAGGTGCTGCTGCAGGTGGTGCTGCTGGGAGTGCTGAGCCTGGGGGTGCTGAGCCTGCGGGTGCTGGGCCTGGGAGTGCTGGGACTGCGGGTGCTGGAGCTGAGGGTACTGTGCCTGGGAGTTCGGCGCCTGGGGGTGCTGAGCCTGGGGGTGCTACGACTGGGGGTGCTGAGCCTGCGTGTACGGAGTCTGGGGGTGCCGAGCCTGGGGGTACTGCGCCTGAGGGTACTGAGCCTGGGGGTGCTGCTACTGAGCCTACGGAGCCTGGGGTTGCTGCGTCTGGGAGTTCGACGCCTGGGGGTGCTGAGCCTGGGGGTACTGTGACTGGGAGTGCTGTGCCTGCGGGTACTGAGCCTGGGGGTGCTGCTACTGAGCCTACGGAGCCTCGGGTTGCTGCGTCTGGGGGTGCTCCGGTTCGGGGTGCTGAGCAGTCTCTCACACCGCAGCAGCTTCGTGACTGGTACGTCCGGCGCTTTCGCCGTCCTAGTGGCTCGGCTGGAGTTGGGGGTGCTGGAGCTGCTCGTCCTGGGGGTGCTCGTACTGGGGGTGCTGGAGCTGCCGGGACTGGTTGTTCTGGGAGCACTACGACTGGAGCTGCTGGAGCTGGGGCCTCTGGAGCTGGCGGTGCTAGCGGAGTTGGAGCTGCCGACTCTGGGGGTGCTCTTCCTAGCGGTGCTGCGGACCCTCGGGGTGGCGCTGCTGCTGGTGCTGCGGACCCACCTGGTGGAGCTGCTGCTGGTGCTGAGGACTCGGACGTTGGAGCTGCTGCTGGAGCTGAGGACCCGAGCGGTGGCGCTGCTGCTGGTGCTGGGGACCCGGACGTTGGAGCTCCTGCTGGTACTGAGGACCCGGCCACTGGAGTCTCTTCTGCTTCTGGAGACGCTGCGCGGCCGCGACCGTACTTCGTACCGCTCCTTCAGCAGGTTCTTGGGCAGGCTCCTCCTCCTTGTCCTCCTCCCTCCGTAGAGTGTCCTCCGCCTGTCCAGCCGCAGTCACAGTTACCGCCTACCTCGCCTCTTCCTGCTCCCTCTCCTTACACAGGTCCCACAGGAGGTCTTACAGAGCGTCGTGAGCCTGAGTCTCGTCCTGCGTCGCCTGTTCGTACTGCTCGCACTGGTCGTCGTGTCCGTCGTGAGCGTCCTCCTCCTGTCCCCGGCACTCACTACATGACTCTGCGTCCATCTACTGCTCCTCAGCGTGTCCCTCTACCGTCTCCTCCTGCGTCCTCTTTGCCTGCCGTTCCGGACCCTGAGTCTGACCGGTATCGTGCTGAGCACCCTACTGTCACGCGTCTCCTAGCTACTGTTGTCACTGACCCTACATTTGAGTCCTCGGCTGCGTCTGCTCTGGTCGCTGAGTTGGTTGACTTTGCTGCTGCCTGTCGTCTAGACTACGCTGCTAGCCTTGTTGCTGAGTCTGAGTCTGCGTCTGTCTGTCCTCCGTCCGTCGGGGGTGAGTGTGCTCTTGGCACGGACGTCCTTGAGGACAGGCAGGAGGACTTTGACTCTCTCGCGGCTGCTGTACCTCATCTCGTGGCCTGGTTGCTTGCCCCTGAGGGAGACCCGGATGCACTAGACATCCCCACTCCGCGCACTTACGCAGAGGCGATCTCGGGTCCCTACTCCTCTCAGTGGCAGACAGCCATGGACGCAGAGATGGCATCCTGGAAGTCCACAGGCACCTACGTCGACGACGTTCCCCCTCCCGGGGCGAACATCGTCGATGGCATGTGGATTTTCAGGGTGAAGCGGCCGCCAGGTTCTCCGCCTGTCTTCAAGGCTCGTTACGTTGCTAGAGGCTTCAGTCAGCGTCAGGGGGTCGACTTCTTCCAGACCTTCTCCCCCACCCCGAAGATGACCACTCTTCGGGTTCTGCTGCACGTTGCTGCTCAGCGTGACTACGAGCTTCACTCTCTTGACTTCAGCACAGCGTTCCTGCAGGGCAGCCTGCACGAGGAGATCTGGCTGCGCCGCCCACCTGGCTTTACTGGGTCGTTTCCCCCTGGTACCCAGTGGAGTCTCCGCCGGCCAGTCTACGGTCTCCGCCAGGCGCCACGTGAGTGGCACGACACACTGAGGACTACACTTGCGGCTCTTGGGTTCGCGCCGTCTACTGCTGACCCGTCGCTGTTTCTGCGCACAGACACGTCGCTGCCGCCGTTCTACATTCTCGTGTACGTCGACGACTTGGTCTTTGCTACTGCTGACACTGAGGCACTCGCTCGTGTGAAGTCGGAGCTGCAGAAGAGACACACCTGCACTGACCTGGGTGAACTGCGTAGCTACCTTGGCTTGCAGATCACCCGGGACAGAGCTCGCCGCACCATCACCCTGACTCAGTCACACATGGTGCAGCAGGTCCTTCAGCGCTTCGGCTTCCAGTTCTCCTCACCACAGGCCACACCTCTGGCTACCAGCCACTCGCTCTCAGCTCCACCTTCGGACGAGTCCGTAGAGCCGAGTGGCCCGTACCCAGAGCTTGTAGGCTGCCTCATGTACCTGATGACTTGCACGCGACCTGACCTCGCGTACCCTCTTAGCATCCTTGCTCGTTACGTTGTGCCTGGGAGACACAGGCGAGAGCACTGGAAGGCTGCTAAGAGGGTGCTGCGTTACTTGTGCAGTACATCAGGCATGGGGCTGGTGCTTGGAGGACGCGACAGAGTTGTCCTCACTGGTCACTCGGACGCTTCTTGGGTGGACGACCAGGCTACTCAGCGGTCGTCACAGGGTTACACCTTCAGCCTTGGCTCTGGTTCTGTCTCGTGGCGGTCCACCCGCTCTTCCTCTGTTCTCGGCTCTAGTTGTGAGGCTGAGATCTACGCGACAGCCATGGCTGCACAGGAGTTACGCTGGCTCACCTACCTGCTGACTGACTTGGGAGAGCGGCCTAGTTCTCCTCCAGTTCTGTACGGTGACAACAAGGCGGCTCTTGCCTTGTGTCAGGAGCACAGACTGGAGCACAGGACGAAGCACATTGCTCTTCGCTACTTTCTTGCTCGAGAGCTTCAGCAGCGCGGTCAGCTTCGGCTTGTGTACGTGGACTCGAAGGCCAACACTGCTGATATCTTCACCAAGGCGCTCCCGCCTAGTGATCATCAGCGGCACTGTACTTCTTTAGGCCTTGTGTCCACGTTTCCTCACTTGCTCACTGCTTGACATTCTTTGTACTGTACTTTATATATATCTTGTTGCTTGTCTTGTACTATATCTAGCACTGCATGTGAACTGGCCTTGTGGCCTTTGCTTGTGCTCGGAGTGTGGTGACTTTGTGATCCACCCTGGGCTTGCGTTGCTTTGCTGGACTGGTCTTGTGACCCTTTGTTCTCCCCCACTTTGCCTATGGGGGTGTGTTAAA